AAAAATTTTTTTAAGCCTCCAGCACCTGCAGGCAGTCTCCCATCCAAGTACTCAGGGCTGACTCTGCTTAGCTTCTGAGATCAGACGAGTAAAATTTTGTTTTTAAACAAGGTAAATACTACTGTATGGAAGGAACAGTCTGCCAGTCTGCCGTGTCTATAACCTATTTGAAGAGTAAAGATGTGAAGTGTAATAATAGCTGTTAGTTACTGAATCATTCTAGATCAGTATGTTATCTATGTAAACATTGAAAGTGATCTTTATCACTTTATCTTTGTCATAATCCCAGTGTAGCCTAATCAGAGATCTGTGAGGGAGTGGAGGGCATAGCTGTTTGTCCTCAGATTATTTGTGTCCCAGTTGCAATCCTGTCCTTTTTTAAGAGCTACTGCTGACCAACAGTGCCATCTAGTGGACACTGAGAAACTTTTGGTTCTTGTTGGGTCATTAGCCAGGAGGGGATTTGGTCTCCAGACTAATGGCTAGGCTGCGCTAACGACTGACATGGGAGAATGGGTCTGACTGAGGTCTTAATTAACTTCTCTAGAATAGTCATGGAAACCCAGTTTAAAAAGAAAGTGTCCTTAAGACAACCTTGGCCAGGTTAGTGCAGGCTGGTAGCTTTGCACACTTGCTTGCAGTCTGACATGGCCTTTCAGGTCTTGCTGCCTGGGTTTAATCTCAAGAAAGTTGACCCTCAGTAGGCCACCAACCTTCCACTTCCCTGGAGGTTAGGTTGAAAGTTATCATTAGCAAGAATTAATCTAACTGGGGAGAGGGATTTACTAATCTTTTGGAGAATTTGGCAGTCAAGCACGCCTGAAAAAATGTCCCAATTTCTTTGGAAAAGAATCAATTTGATGTTTCCTTAGGATCTGAGAAGGGTGGGTAGAATGTGTCTCAAAGAGTTAACAAAAAACCCCCTTGGTTACTAGTAAATAACTCATAATAGGAGTGGTTTATAGACGTGTATAGGCAAAGAAATGCCTCAATTTAAATACGTGTAATCCAAATACAGGCACCAAATATTTAAGGAACACCTACTGAATGAACACCGTCTTGCCTTCTGCCACTAAAAATAAATAGCTGGTGTACTTCTAGCCTTCATGGAAATTGCAGGAATCAGAGGATAGGGAAATGGCTAAGCAGAGAACAGCACAGACAAAGGCATGTAACTAGAAATGAGGAGGAACTGCGTAAGCTTGGTCAGAATCAGATCATGGTAGGACACCTTACAAGAGGAAATTTGAGGGAAGCTCAAGTATCCTTCCGTTTTCTAAAAGTGAGGGGGCTAGGGTCAGGTCCTGGACTTGAGGAATGGAAAATATTTGGAATAGGCCTTCAAAGTTAGGATTGTTCAATAGTCTAAAGAATGCAGGTGAATGTGGGGTCAGTTTTTGTGGTTGTTGGCCTGCTTTCCTATTGTTGGCACTAAGAGAAAAAGAGAGTGCGGTAATCTCGGTATGACAAATACCTTTAAAACTGACATAGACACCAGGATGTACAGGAAGATGAAGGAGATTATAAGACAGGTTAATTAGGGAGCAGGGTAGGGTTGAGAGACTAAAGCCTCATAGGGATGCCCAAAGGTAAAGAATAGTTTCTAGAAAGAGGTAGGAAAGGGAATTTGTGATCTAAGAAAAGGATTCTTGATTTGGTGTGAACCTAACAACTCTAAGCCCTATGTTTCCTCAAAGTCAGTCCCCCAAAAGAAAGTCTTGCTATGGA